CCCCCCCCCCCCCCCCCCCCCCCCTGAGACCTGCTGCCCGTCATGGCTTTGTGGGGACCTGGTGACGTGGGCCGGCGGGATGATTCACGGCCTTATTTATTTCGGTGTGTTTGCTTTTTCCCTGGTACAGGATGAGTAACAGGGAGCACATTTTCTTGCCCGCATGAAAGGAGAAAAATTGGGGGTATAGCAGCAAAAATGCTCCAGCTGATAGGTTTCAACTGATACATTTTAGAGGCTGGTGAAGACAGAGGTTTAACACCTCTAAAAACACGTTAGCTGCTCTGAGGCTTTTACTTCAGGTCCTTCATAGCCAGGGCTCTCCAACGTTTTCCCCAAAGTGTGGAACCCTTCCTGCATGAGGGATTAAACATCCCCATGTAGGGGACCCAGATGAGATGTGCCCACTTGCAGCGGAGCCTGGGGAGAGCATCCTTCCCCGCAGTCCTGCTCCGCCGGGGGAGCGGCTGCTGCAAGCTCGGGGCTCCCCGTGGGTGCCGGCTGCTTCTCATGCACAGATCTCTGGGGTGCAGGAGCTGCCCTCGCCTTGGGAAAAAATTGGGAGGTTGCAAAAAAAAACCAAACCCAAACCAAACAAAAAAAGAAGTTGGGGGGTATTATTTTCTGCAGTCACCTGCGGTGGTAGAAGATAGATAGGACAGAGTGGATAATTTTTTCTGAGTGGAGAAAGCCCCATGTGGCCCCAAGATGCTGCTGGATACTTTTGCTCAATACAGGTGTCCCTATAAACTAAGATTTAGACAGCAAAGCCTTTTTCTTTTTTCCATCTCCACGTGGAGGAGAGGGCATGGAAGAGAGGAAGAAAAGGTCAGGGAATGACTCTCCCCCCACCCGCTGATGAGGTATTTGGGAAGAAACCTTTTGAAACAACATTCCCAAAGTTTTCAAGTTCCTCTGCGGAAAACCCATGTAGGGATAGGATACGAGCCAAAAGCAAGGGAAAAGATTGTCTGGCTTTAATTTATCTATCCCTGGGCATTTCTAACAAGCAGATCACTGTAATATTTAATCTCGTGCGAGTCCCTGCGTGTTAAAAGTGAATCTCCCTCATATGTTTTTGTTAATTTTGTCATTTATAAAGTCGCTTCTGACGGCCTAGGGCTGCTCGGCTCCCGTCCACAACGTACGTCTGTCTGTCTGTGGCAGCAGAACAGCATCCGCAGGACCCAAACCCGCTTCTCACACCGAGCAGAGAGGAGCGAGCGGCTCTAGCAGCTGGCAGAGGTGGCGGCAGGTCGGTGGGCGAGCATCCTCCGTCCGCTGCCCCGCACCGTGAGATGTAGATGCTTTTTTCCTTCTCTTCTGGGACCGATGCTGAAGTTCGGACACATTTCTTGGCTCAGCTGGCAGTGATTAAAATTTGCTGCTCACTTTTTTTTGTAGTTGTTTACTTTGTTGAATTTTTAAAAACTTGTTAGAATGCAATTGAACACAGATTCAACAGTATTTAGGCTTGAAAAATAAAGATGCATTAGAAAGATGCCTATTATGCTTCAGAATTATTAATTGACATTTTTATGATGAATAATTAATCATTTGAATAATTTTTGTATCTCTGATCTGAACACATATTTGCATATCTAATGTCTGATTTTAAATGTGGTTTCTTTAGTTGCATTCTCCCAGGACAAAGACATGAAGTAAGTAACATCCTAATGCAAAACTTTTTTTTCTTTGCAGTTGTAAAAGTATGCTCATTGAAATGTAAGTTTCCATCTAGTTATGAAGCTGTTAATAATCTATGCATGGCATATATGCATTAATAAGACCGTGAATCTTCTGGATACGAGCACATTTAGGCCTCATTTTCTTAAATACAGTGGTAAGGTCTCCTGCAATACACACACGTTGCTTAAAACCGTGCGGGGTTAAGCTAGGAAACCATAAAGAAGTATCTCAGATATGCAGTGTTCCCTTCTTGTTTATACGACACTTAGTGAGAAGACCAAAGGTTGTTTCAATCTGAGGTGTTAAAAATATCAAGAACTTTTTATATTCATTTTTACTGTGGTCTCCCAGTGAGACAACATCAGTATTTTCTTGTTCTATTTTAATATGCCTAAATCGTAGTCCTCAAGACCCCCCCCTCGGTCATAGCTGGTGGCGATAAGGGAACAACCTAAGCTGCAGATCGGTTATAAGTTGGTCAGAAAATAGGTGCAAGTAATGGTGCTTGTTGTGCAACCCTGCTCGGCGTTGGGTTGGTATGAGCACAGCTCAGCCACATGGGGAACAGAAAGGAGGAAGGGGCAGCTGGACAAAACCATAACCAGAAAGGTATAAAAAAAAAAAATAAAATAAAGCAATTAAAGGACTAGCCTCTGCTCCCTCCGACCACGGCGATAAGGGAACAACCTAAGCTGCAGATCGGTTATAAGTTGGTCAGAAAATAGGTGCAAGTAATGGTGCTTGTTGTGCAACCCTGCTCGGCGTTGGGTTGGTATGAGCACAGCTCAGCCACATGGGGAACAGAAAGGAGGAAGGGGCAGCTGGACAAAACCATAACCAGAAAGGTATAAAAAAAAAAATAAAATAAAGCAATTAAAGGACTAGCCTCTGCTCCACTGCCTCCGACCACTGGTTAATTATTATAGCGATACTGCCTGACTGGGACCCAAGGAGTTGCCTTCGCTTATGCCAGGTCTGAATTTGATTTGTTCAGAAATGAAAACTTTTAAGAATTTTTATTTAGTGGCACATTTAAATGTACAGGGGGCCCAAATATTCAGAGTATGGGCTATTGGCTCCTTGTTGTTGTACCGAGGAACCAGGGAGAGAGATGTTCTAGAAATACCTTAAATTGATGCAGTACTATTTATGTTTAGCAGATTAAAGACGTTACACCAAAATGGAGGCACAAATACATGGTAGTGTTTAAATTTCCTTAGTGCCATTTATATAAGGAAGATAGTACATGTGAAACGTAAAATTAAAATAAAAACTTTTAATCTCTTTTTTTTTTTTCCCGCCCTGGTTAGTAAAAAATATGCCCAAAAGATACTTTTCTTTTTTTATGGTGGAAGTATATTATATAGACTATGGTAATCTAGTGGGCAATATCTGACAGACAGATACTGTATAAAGAAACTGTGAAATGTAGTTCTCAGAACAGGCTGAAGTTATATTGAATAGGATGTTTAGCAGTTGCATATGCTCAGTGATAACAGATTTTTTTTTTTTTTCCCTTTTTTTTTTTTTTCCTAGGGGGGGTTGAATTTGTAATAGCAAGAGCCGTAAATTTGAGCAACGCTTGCAGCACGGAGGGCCCAGCTCTGAGGCCGGTGCCCAGACCTGCCGTGGCTTTGCCCATCAGGGTGGTGGCAACGGCAAGCAAGCTCTCTGCAAAGGGACGAGGTGGGAACTGGGGTTAAACCTCTGCTTTTTGGTTCTGAAAGTAGGAGAGAAAGCAAACGTCCCTGAGATGCGCCCACGCTTCTCTGCAAAGGGAGAGATCCCTTTTGGGGTTGGGGTCACCCCTTGCCGTGGGCAGCAGGAGCAGCAGCAGTGCTGGGGTGACGGCATCCAGTGCTGAGAACATCGGCCAAAGCCCCTCGGGTGGTGGCGTGCCTTCGTGAGGCCGATGGACAGCTTCGTGGTGGATCTATTAACCTGGAGAATGGAGGGGGTTTTGTTTTTCATTGTTTTAACCAGGCTGAAAGGTGAATATAAATTATATAATTACAGAGTGGCCCTTGTTCTACCTATTTGGGACTAGATCAAATTTACTTTTCCCTGGCTTCCTTAGTGTCTCGCTATTTCCCCCCCTGACTACTGATTAAGCT